CATCAGTTAGTATGCAAAACCACTAACAGTTTTAGTAATTATATATATATATATATATATATATATATATATATATATATATATATATATATATATATATATATATATATATATATATATATATATATATATATATATATATATATATATATATATATATATATATATATATATATATATTATTATGACACACTATTCGGACTATTCTTATAGAAATATCAAACATTGAACTTCTAAATATTTATTATACTAGGTGTACCAAATTTCAATTCATTATCATCAAAATTCTAGGAGAAAACCAAAAAAACAAACAACAGTTCTTGAAATTTTGACGCCCTGTATCTTTGCAACAAAGCCCTTTTTGATACCGATACATATATTTTAAAATTTAATGATCACGAAAATTTTCCATTTAAAACAGCTGATGAAGGACAATACTTTTTTCATACTTTTTTTTTTAATTTAATAACCATTGTATTGCAGCGTTTCACGAATAAATTGATCGATGGATAATATTACAAGTGTGTTTAAAATATAATGGTTTTATTAGAAACAAACAACTTACTACCTTTATCTCGAAATTGGTACAATTTACAATAAAAGTTCAAAGCACCAAAATATTTAAAAACATCAGATCGCATCGAAAATATTGGGTTTTTAAATTTTCCGACGAGTACCAAATTTCAATGCAGCATATCAAAACATCAGGAAAAAATCGAAATAAATCTTAAAATCTTAACACCCTGATCTCGATAACAAAGAATTTTGATACGAAATAGTTGAATACGTGGTGCCTACGAATAGTTGCAGCAAACTTTCCCCATTAATATTATGAAATTAACTCCTCATCCTCCTATTGAACTCCAGCAGGCGTAAACGAGGTCCATCTTGGTTTATAACAATATGTTGTGTTACACTTGAAGTAAGACGAAGGAACACAGCATTTTACATGCCGTTTTTTAACGTTGTTTGTGCTGCTGGGGCTTTTTTGCTATACAAAATGCAACATCTGAGGAGAAGCTATATACTATAGTATTTAGATAACTACCCAGAGAGAACACACAATAACGCGTTTTACCACAAACCGAAACTCAATTTTACATACCCGACGCGCGTTTCGCCAACCAAGTTGGCGTCTTCAGGAGAAGATTAAAACCGCGCGTTTCGTCAACCGATTGAATCGGTTGACGAAACGCGCGTCGAGTACCTAAAATTGAGTTTCGGTTTGTGGTAAAACGCGTTATTGTGTGTTAGTGCAGTGCCGAAGGTTCCAGTCAAGAGTTTGATAACGATGGCTTCACGGTCAACGGAACTTAACTTATACCATAAGGTTAGCACTAAGATTAGGTTAATAGTTTTGTCAAAATTTCCGTAATAAATTCATCTCACAGTTTTAATCTTTTCCTGAAGATGCCAACTTGGTTGGTGAAAAGCGCGTCGAGTACGTAAGGGTCGAAGGTTCCAGTCAAGAGTTTGACCCAGAGAGAAAACAACCAGTACAAACTTTATTAGAAGAAGATTAACCACAAATCTGAAGCAGTATGGTGCGTTTATAAAATCAGTTTTATATAAAAATAAACCCTGTAATGAAGAAGAAATAAATAATGTACCGTTAGCTGTTACTGAAAATCCAGAAACATTGTTATAAAAATAGAAAGGACAACAGGAATCGCGAGATTTACTTCTCGTTTTACTTTGAGAAAGCAAAAGTTTCACCTGCTCAAATTTAAAATTTGTCAAGCGCTCAGATTTGGCGATGAAGAAGGACGATGAACATTTTGCGAATTGTGTACTAGGAAGTGTCAAAGAGACGAAAGCTTTCCCCATAAGATTGGTAATAAATAATGGAATTTTTATCTGGTGAAATACTCATTATTGGACAAGAGATAATCCTCGAGTTTTGGGTTTAATATGTGGGTTGGGATTTTTGGAACACATTCAATAGGTACTTTTTTTTATAATGATTCTCTTAATTCTGACCGTTACCGCAACCTCCTGGAGCACGACATTGAAGAAGCTTTGGACACTTACCGCTTGCAAAAGTGAGAAACTGTTGGCTTCAACGGAACGGCGCACGCCTATAAGGCCCTAATCTTAAGCGAGTACCTATCGGACAGATTTGCGGAAAAATGATAGGTGCCAGCAGTTTCGTGGCCCCCTCTTTCGCCGGACTTCACTCCATTCGATTTATATAGGGAGACTACAAAAGTTATGCTTACCAGCTAGTTTTTGAGACTGAGGGTCAACTGAGAAGATTAGTTCTTGAAGTCCTTCAAAAAAGAACAACTAATGTGTTAAGAAATGTGTTAAATTCGCCAGTTTGAACACCATTTGTAATCTAAATTTTGTTGTAGTAATTTCTTTTTTAGTAAAGCTCTCAAACATTGAAAATTTAATAAAAATCCTTTTTTTGTGATTTAATCCATGCATAATCATAGTGTAAATTCGTAATAAAAAATGCTATTTAAAACTTGACGTAGTTTTTCCATGGACCCTATGAAAAAATAAAATTGATCATGATTTAGCCGGAACGAAATGTGAACACAGAAAAAAATATGAGAGAAAGCGACTTTTTTGTTGTTATATCTCTTTGGATACCACAAGAAAAAAAAATGAAATCCGCATTTTCTTTGCGTATCTTCGTAAGTGATGGGATTTTTTTTAATTTTCTCAACAGCACATTATTGATCATTAAAATTTGCAATTTTTTTCTTGTTTAACCATTTTCGCATCTCTAATGGTTTCCAATATCTCCTGATAGACGTCGTTATCCTGCACACACTGTATAATATCTTTCCTAAAGGGTTAAAAATGAATACTAAAAAAATAACATTCAAAAACAAAAGCGTTTAGAAACAAAGATACATTTGATAATTTGTTTATACATTGTTAAAATGTCTTTTGTGTATACCACTTTCTGTGACTGTAAATACACTTTATTATTATAATTATTATTTATTTCAAACTGTGCAAATAGGTACGGGAAAAGGCATTTCAATTTTTTTAATTTATCTGCTAAAAGTACTGTTTGTTTGATAAATCACTTTGCATTCTTATCTAACCCCCTGTAAATTAGATTTTCTCATAATGTTTAGTTTAATAAAACTACAAAATCTAGTCATTATAGACATGTTCAAATCTCACATGAAAAATCGTAATAACGCCATTGTCAGATATTTTAGTATTTTATCGTTAAGTCAATGTTCCATTTGGTAACAGCTTAATCCACCGTATTTATTTTACGTGCTTAAATATTTTAATCGCTAAGGCTGCTCTAATTCCGTAAAGTGCGACAGAGAAAATCATATAAAAGCCGGACGCAGAAGGAATTATTAATTAAAGCCAAATACTTTACGTAATTAAGGTGTCACTGCAGACTACAAAGACACAATTCCGCTTTTGCTTTATATAGCAGAATGCTGTTAAAAACGTAATTATATTACACACACATTTATGTAAGAGACAATCTACTGTTGGAATCAAAATAAGATAATATAAGAGTTTTGTCCCGATTATATTCAATTCAAAACAATTTATTGATGTTTATTATAAATATTATCATTAACTATTACCACAGTAAAAAACTCATTCACGCTATAAAAGGCATGATACTTTTTACCAGATATTTAAATATATTTGCACCATACAACCCGCTTATTGTAGTTTGCGAATGATTTTTTGTATGGGGCTATTAATTTGTCAAAGAAACTTCTAGAGGCTGTGTGAACTTCTGGATTTCTCATGCTTTACATATTAACTCTGTCTTGTTGCGTGTCGGCAAACATGCTACTGGCTTCTTCAGTGAGTCAGTTTCAGACAGCGCAGAAAGTGTACCTACAACCAGCTTATTGGTTGTAATAGACAATATATCATTAGAACTTGTCTTGCCAAAATAAGGTCGTAATTCTTTACATAGTTTGAAATTTTGAAGTGACTTATATTTATTATGATTAATTTTATCATTGCCAATATACTGTTAAAAATAAGAAAACGAAAGGATAAATATTCTCATGTAAAATCATCGTAATCTATATATTAAGTAGCCATATCTATTTGATTGTTGCAAGTCGAGTCAGATAGAAATTTAACTACACTATCCTGACGAATTCACTTGTTGCTCAGTCTAACAGGTTTTCATTTCATTTTGACTCCTTACAAGAAAAAAACAGTAACTTTGTTTATCGGTATTCAACGTTAGATTGTTTTCTGGCATTAAGTTTGCATTCCTACAGTGATGGTCTTGGACATACTACTCAATTCTTCAAAATTGTTGTATCTGAGAGCAAAAGTAGAAAATATACAGCGATCCACGGCTTAAATGATGCAGAAATAGTCTTCTTCTTCTTAAAGTGCCGGTCCTCTGTGGACGTTGGCTATCACGTTGGTCCATATTACTTTGTTTACTGCGGATCTGAATAGGGCTGTTGATGTCATTCCAGTCCATGCACGTAGGTTCCGCAGCCACGATATTCGTCTGCGTCCTGCCGATCGTCGACCCTCGATTTTCCCCTGTAAGATGAGTTGGAGTAGGTGGTATTTCTCATTGCGCATAATGTGTCCAAAGTATTCCAGTTTTCTGCGTTTGATGTTTGCTAGGAATTCCATTTCTCCTCCGATGCGCTCAATGACCGTTTTATTTGTCACATGATGTACCCACGAAATTCTGAGGATGCGGCGGTAGCACCACATCTCGAAGGCATCTATACGTTTGCACGAGGCATCGGTAAGGGTCCATGCTTCTGTCTCATAAAGGAGGACCGAGAGAACATAACAGTTCAGGACCCTTATTCTAATGCGGACGCTGAGGGATAGGTTACAGAATATGTTTCTCATTTTGTTAAATGTGCTTCTTGCTTCTGCAACAACAGATTGTGATCTGACGGTATGTCTGCGCCTGGGTAGGTTTTACAGGATACAACTGCGTTGCGATATATTCGGTTTATCATTATAAAGTCAATTTGGTTTCTTATGAATCTGTGGCTGCTATCCGCTGGGGATTCCTAGGTGTACAGTCTTCTCGAGGGCAGTTTGAAAAAGGTGTTCATAATAGTAAAGTTCATTTCCTCGCAGAATTCTATTAAGCGTTCTCCCCTCTCATTTGTCACCCCCAGCCCGAATTCGTCTACCACATCCTCAACCCTTCCTTGCCCAACCTTGGCGTTTATGTCTCCCAACATCATATTAACTTCTTCTCTCCTCGTATGTTTGAGGGCAGTTCTAAGCTGTTCGTAGAATTCTTCCATCTCTTGTTCACTGCTCTCGGTCGTAGGTGCGTATGACTGTATGATATTCAAATCGAATGGTTTTGATTTGATTTTTATCAGTTCAACTCTGCTCGAGATGGGGATAAATCCTTTTACAGCTTCGTTGGTTTGCTTGTTCAGGATTATTGCTACTCCGTTTCTATTTCTGGTAGTATGGTCTCCGGAGAAATATATATGGTGTTCGTCTATAGTGCAGTGTCCCGAATTCGGCCATCGTGTCTCACTGCACCCCAGTATGTCGATTTGTAGCCGTTTCACCTCTTTCACTATATTTGCCGCCTTCCCAGCCTGGTACATGCTTTGCACATTCCATGTGCCAATTCTCTTCTCTTTGTTTATTCTTAGGACATCATTGGAAAACCGGGGGATTCTTCGCACCCTCTTCCCACTTAAGGGGTGCCCGGGACTGAGGGCCGTTGCTTGTTTTTGTATATCCATTTTAATGTCTTGGGGAATATATATGATCCAAGTAGTTTCCCGTTGCTTTCCTGGATTTTTTTATCAGCCGCCCCTAACATGGGGAACAGACGCTGTTTGCAGCCGCCCATTCTGGGTCAGACGCTGCAGTTTCACCATATCTGGCTACCCTCACTTGGTTTAGTCTGTGGGTCAACACAGTGTGCCGGGGTGTGGCGCTTGGAGCCAACAAGTGAGAGTTGGGTGTCTCGTGAGGACCAGTTGTCTGAGACCTCCACCCGTCTTACGACGCTTGGAGTGACCGTCCCTAACAAAAGGTACTACCTCTCCGACATAACCCCTGCACCCCGCAAAAATAGTAGCAGGGGTCAAAACTCATCAGTTTGAAAGTTACGAAAACAACTTTGCTTTTATTTCTTAATGCAATAATTTTTAATTTAGTTTGAACTTTGAAAATAGAATTTCACAAAATACAACTATTTTTTTTTTAAATCGGCCGTCGAACTACAATTTATGAATGAAATTTAATTATTACTCATCATAGAAATGGATACAACACCTCAATTTTCATCAGTCGAGAATAGGTCAAGATTGGCTCCAAATAAGATCTTCAATGAACATAGAAAGAGAAAAGTATCATTGTGGAGAAAGCCTAAGGAAGAACTAAAAAAAAATGTTATGGGACTGTATGGCATCTGTAGGAGTGGTTATGCTTTTCATTGAGGGAAATATTGTACCTATCTTCCTCTCTCTATTTACATTTCCTTGCTAGTGCCCTAAAATTGATAACAATTATCGGTTCTATCATGGCAATGTTCCAAAATACAAGTCATATCGCGTCGGCATTTGGTTGCTTTATACCTGCCCAAATGTTGAAACACCAGCCTAGTCACCAGTTACTGAGAGTTTGTTGTTGATATAAAAAATGAATTTAAAAGTGGCCCAATATCTAACAAAATTGAAATACAAGTACTGAAGTATAGAATATAATTTCCACGGAGTAGATTAGAAGATTTGTTCTATTAATGCTCAGAAGGTTAGAAGCCATTATAGCAGGCCTATTTTATAACGTGCAACTTTCTTCTCTGTTTATGTTGTTTTATTTCTGCATCATTTAACCTGTGACGTTAATATTCGATAAAATTTAGTTAGTTATTTATTGTAAACTAAGTAAAGCATATTTAAGATAAAAGGTAATTTATAATTTTTATAAAAGTGGACCTAACAAGCTCCCTTGAAAGAACCCTAGATTCTGAGATAAACTTTTGTTCCATCCCTGAGCTTTACCGTCCGAGTTCTGTTATCTAAAAAATATTTAGAACATTTAATTCGGATATCTTTTAAAATTTGAACCTGTCGATAAAATATAAAATAATATAATAATAATAATAATAAAAATATAAAAAACTAACTGATCAGTGAATGTTATTGAGGATGTGTTTGCTTTCTTTTATTGTTGGCCGAATGAGGAACAATCAATAAATCAATATTTTATTAAAATGGACGACAAGAGAATACTTCACATAAAGTTGTCAAATGAATATTCGTCGAATATCTGTTCAGCTCAAAAGCGACCTTCAAAAGGACCTTCAAAAGAAAATTTCATAACCCCCCCCCCCCCCCAACTGCCATAATTTTATAAGAAATTTCTGGAATCTTACCCTTTTTGATTGCGTAGGGGTCCAGCAAAACGACTTAATAAAGCATAGAAAATTCTACCTCGTAAGTATTTCCAATCATTCCGACGGTATGAGATTTTCCTCTTTTCCCATTCTATACTCCGCAATTGTTGCCAAATTGTATTGGAATAAAGGGTATTGAAAATTTTTGAATGTTATAATAGTGTGGCAGTTTGTTGCAGAATTGGTGAAGCAATATTTTCATGAAAAACTTTTATCTATAATACATTAATCCACAACAAACACAGAAAAGTTTACATTTGCGTTCCGGTTGTACAGATATTCTTGGTCCAAAACGTTTTTTAACTATTTTTAGCTCATCTATTTGGATGGATCTGGACTTCTTTGTCAATTGCTGAAAATACCCACTTTAGAAGTTGGCGCCAACATTCGATACAAACTGAAGACGTGGCACCAGCGTTTAAGTTTTCTGCTTTGCATGTGAACAAAATTGACCAGGAGCGGGCACGTACGGCATTCTCCAGGTGAATTTACATAATACGATCGAAAACTTTCAAATTGACCCAAAACAATACACTTGTTTTATGGATCCCATCAGTCGGTTAAATTTTTTTTGTTTGCGGTTTCGGTAGAAGGCGGTTTCAAAAATTGGAACATAGTATTTAATCATTTTTCTTAATTCGGCCCAGAGTGTATTTAAGCGTTTTTGGTAATGAAGTTTGCTTACCTACATGGTCGTGATAACAGAACCATTGTCAAGTGTACCATAATAACGCAAATCCGATCGTAGGTTAGCGAAGATTTGTTAATACAAAGGAATAGGGAAAAATATAAAAATCTGTTTTTTTTTTACAGTCAAAAGTGCGATCTGTTAAAGTTAAAGTTAGTTATATATAATAAAGATGATGCCTTCGTTAATTTGGTTAAACTTGACACTTATTTGAAAATGACTTCGAAATTAACATTTATATCTGTAATACTGGTCCATTCGCTGTAATTTTAACTGCAAAACATTTTTGAAACCTCCGAGGTACTTTAGGATTACGATTAATACTGCAAAATAAAGTAACCTCAACAAAACATCCTCACTAATTATACCAAAAATTAAAATTTACTTATCTATATCACCATGCACAGAGACCACATAAGTTAATCATAAAAATGCCATTGTCGTAATCACAATATATGCATTTAGAAGTCCCGTGAGGGGTGTTGCCTAAATGTGAATGGTTGCTATGGTAACTACACAAGGTGGGGGAAAATAATTGTCCAGAGGAGCAATGAATCATTGGCGTGCCAGATTAAAATTGTCAAAGACGTATTACAAATAGCAAATTGGAAATAAATAAAGTAACTTCAAAAAATATCAAGTTCATATCAATATTTTTAATATCTATTTTATTTTAAGGAGGAACAATTGTGTTCTTCGGGGAGACTGTGATGAAAAATTAAAAATAAAACACTTACGATTTAAAAATCTAGTAGAGATAGGTGTATTGTCTTGATTTTTGTGGTCTAAAAACTTTAGGACTTCTGCAAATCCTAATAAGTCAAATCAACAACAATAAGTAATACTATGCATAAATATTACACGACATGTAATAAATACGTGCATTTATTTACTTGCCCATGAAATGATGCATTGTAATCGAAACGACCAAGTTTATCAAAAATTTCGTACCGTTGCGGCATTTCTACTATCAGTTTTAATAATGTTATTGTCCTAAGACACTTTTAAATACTCACTGTTCCGTCCAATCGGAATTGTTTTGTTTTATTTTTCCTCTTTAGTTTTTGATAATTCGGGAATTTTTATGTCCAGCAAATTGAAATTGGTTTTCATTTAATTAATTGCTACGGTTATATTCTCCGCGTATTTTGGTGACAATCTCACTGGGTATACGGCCAGAAAAAAACCGTATGTAGCTCCGGTGTCGTACTCCGCTGTGATTGGGACTAGTAGACTCAGGTAGAGACCAACGTGAGAGCATTTGCCACGTGTCAAAACTAAAATCTCGAGTGCCGTCAAGTATTGCGAAATTGTGCCAGTCAATAGCCAGAGCTGCAGCAAGGTAGGCCAAGAAGAAAAGAGAATGTCATTTTCGTCTCGTTATACCAATATATTCTTATTTAACTCGCCGCGTTATTTCTAGTTTCTATTTTATCAAAATGCTCTTTCTCGTCCAGTCACTGTTGTCAAGAAGCAAACTTGAACACAATGGGTGTGTTTTTCGATGTATAGAACTTTAAGTTGGCATTACTGATTTAACAGCTGTCAAGTGATTTATTCTCAGTTTGGTTTGGCAGTTCATCATGAATAGACTGACGAATGAACAACGCTTGCAAATAGTGCAATTTTATTTCGAAAATGATGGTTCTGTGCGGAATACGTATCGCGCACTAAGTCCATTTTATCGTCGACAAAATCGTCCATCAGAACAGTTAATTCGATTAACCATGGACCGTTTTCGCACCACGTTTACTCTTATTGATAACTCGCATCCCCAGAGACACCGTACGGTGCTTACAGAAGAAGCTATTGCTGCTGTAGAGCGTAGCATTGAGGAAGACTCGAATGAGTCCATCCGCCATCGAGCACAGTAATTGGATCTGTTTCCATCCACTTTATGGAAGATTTTGCGGAGGGATCTTGGTTTACGTGCTTACAAAATCCAACTCTTGCAAGAATTGAAGCCAAACGATCATCAAGTAAGACGTAGATTCGTCGAATGGGCCCAAAACGAGATGGCCGTTGTTCCCGATTTTCATTAGCGAATTTTGTTTAGCGCACTTCTGGTTGAATGGTTACGTCAACAAACAAAACTGCCGCATTTGCCACATCCAGAAAAACTGACTGTTTGGTGCGCTTTATGATGGCCAGAACGTTACAGTCAATGGTGATGAATGATTATCTTTCGGATAAATAAAATTCATGTCAATCGAATAATCCATCGTTGTTTTATTGCAACTTAAAGTTCTATACATCGAAAAAAAACACCCCTTGGTATGACAAGCAAGTAAAATGAAGGTTCAACTCCCCTAGAATGGCGTAAACATCTGTTCAATAGGACGTTGTTACATGATAAAAGTGCATTTCTTACGAACCGTATTGCTATTAGGATAAAAAGATGTACTTGTAAATTTAAGGATTATGATTAAAGAGACACTGGCACGATATATAGAATTGGGTGCTTTCATAATGAAGTAATGTGGAGTGATCCTAGTGTTCGCAATCATTGACACTGCTGAGACTGAAATAAAAAGTGTGGTGTCTGTATTCGTGTTATGTTATCTGTCGCAATTATAATACAAAACCGTTCTTGGTGGGTGTATTACTGCGGTTCTAGATACTGACTTTAATGCATCAAAGAAGTAAAACCC